ACTGTCAGCCAATCAAGTACAAGCTGCTTATCTTGGTTGTCACCATTTCTAAGAATCGGACAGTCGTCAATGCAAACAATTATATTTGTCATAGGGAAAAGCAGACCTATTGAACATATGGTTATATATAAACACAAAACTGAGAGAATTATACGTGAAAACATAGTGCTCATTCATTTTCATAATAGATGCCGGTTTCATTTATCCACGCCAGTGTTAAGTAAATTTAACCTATATTTCTGCAAGCTTTATAATATTATATAATGAATCCATACCAGAAATAAAAAAAAATAAGGGTGGAACTTTTTTTATCCCATTACAAGTAGATACAATTTTAGCGGTTAGATATAAATTACCAAATAAGTTAACAAAAATGATATTCGATAAATAATTAAAGGCACCAGTTGTCATGACACATAACATATAAGATATTCAGACGGATATTTCCTCCCAGGGCCTCCGCTGATGTACACATTTGCAATGAATAAACGGTTTTAAATAAACACAATACTTTTATGCCCTAGAAATTTTACCTTTTGTGATTTCACTGGATTTCAGACTTTCACTTTCATTTTGAGAAGCTTTTACTGGCGACAACACAGTATATCATGTGGTGTTCTAATGAAACTTACAGGACATCAACTTAAATCTACGTATTGTGCCAGCTATTTAATCTTTCCTGATTTTCCTTAAATGTTAATAAAGGGTAAAGGGTCTACTCGGCCCTATACCAACTCGGCACAGGTCAACTCGGCACTCTATTAAAAACCTATTAGGATATAGATTGTTTAAAATGTTTAGTTTATAAAAAATAAGGAGTAAATTACTATAAAGTATTCAGAGGTATGATCACTAGCAAACAGAAATTGAAAAAGTTGGAAGTGTACATGTACGTATTATTTGAAATTATCTTTGTTAAGAAGGGATATCGAGACGATAAATGTTAAAAATTGATATTTAAATTCAATTTTTATGACTATTAACACCACGGATTTATGTTACAGCGATCGGACACTCCTAGTTAACCCTAGGCTATATAAATGCTTTAAAATCTTGTCGTGCACCCGATAAAGGTACATCGATCGATAATTTACCGGCGCTAAGCGTAAATGCTCGTTCGCAACGGATACTTACTTTACAAAATACCATACAGCTTTTCCATTTATTATCCGATTTTGGAAATTTAAAGTTTATTTTGAAGAAAAATACTTGTTTAATTCAAATATCTAATTTGTTTTTAAGGGTACAGTTCATCTGTCCGCAACGACGATTAAAAAATAACTTGACGAAATCCGCTGTAAATTTACATTCTTAATGTAAAAAGCAGGTATTTGAAATTTATTATTTTATAATAATTTCAATTTCAAAATAAAAAAGCCGATGTAAGTTATTCACAGATGATCAAAGATGCAATATTTAAGAATTATTGGGTTATGTAGTCAAATTTATTAACGGACAATTGTTTTACGGGTAATGTATTGCTGCCTTTACAATTCGCTCAACACGTGAAGAAAATTTATTCATTTTTTTAGTACAAAATATTGCCGAGATTGTCAATATTGCTATATTCATAGAATATTTAAAGTTCATTCATCATTTATATCATTATTATTTTTTGTAAATCTGTTGCTGTGAAGTAGACAATCATCGTAACAGTAAAGTACTTACTTGTGGCTTTCTCGATTCCGGCCTTTTTAATGTCACTCGTATATTTTAATCCGTATATTTTATTTATTCTTTTTATTTGAATGCCTGTAGAAAGATATGTTTGATACTTTTTAATGTTACGCCTGAAAAACAATAAACATTTTTACAGTTTGAGTCAGGACTTTTCGAAATAAAAGTGACTTTTGATTATTTTTTACACATCGCTTAAATTTCTTTCAAGTTTAATTACTTTTGAAGGGGGGTAATTACCAGGTAACAAGTTTATTTTCAAACTGTCATTACCAGGTTACATGTGATAATTGCAACACTCAATCTTAAAAAAAACAAATAGAATTTAAATGTATATTTTGTATGTGCGCTGTCTTTAACTACAGTCCATGGCATGTGTGGTAAGAAAATGATTCTGAAGAGGATATATATAAATACAATGTAAATCTATTTTCTTTATTAACATTTATAAATGAAATTGAAAATAAACAACTCAATTTGTAGAGTCCTTTCTTTGAAAGATAACGAAAATAAACATATGACAAATAAATCATTTGACGTGAATTGTGAAGGATAACTGAAAAAAATCTGTTTCAAAATAAAAAATATTATAAAACAGCTGTTCTGTATGCCAATAAAAGTTTCTTCCTTGCCAATCTAATGAATTCATCTATATATGAACGTTTGTCTAGAATGATCTGAAAATATATTTAATACACTTATTAGTAGAATATTTACTATATTTATACAAATATACAGGTAAATCAAATAAAAATGTACAAATCATTTGGAAATAATTCACAGAAATAAAGACACATTTAAAACATGAATTTCTTTAAAAGTATTTTAGCAATCAAGAAACATTTTTTTTGCAATGCTACCATTAAACCATGTAAAAATAATTATCTTAATTTGAATCGCGGTAATAATTTATGCTTGAAGTAAAAGGGCGTCAAAATGTAGAGAGTATGCCTAAAGAATAAGCGAATATTTTTTTTAATTAGGTACTTTTTTTTTTTAATTAGGTACTTTTTAACTAATCGTCACAGCGTTCTATCGGCATATTTTCATATATCAATACTTTAGCGACACAAAATATTACTGTATCAATACATTCATATGTGTATATTTTTTCACAAAGCTGCAATAACACAACATACTCTTGTGAAAATCTGTCATATTTCGCACTCCGCGCGTTCCGCCATCTCCATTTCTGTCCACCTTTATCCGATGTGCGATACCGCGCATGAGCGCGACGAGACTTTAAGTTAAACGAAAGTGTCCGATCCTTGTAATATAAATCCGTGTAAACACTGATAAATGTAATTGTTTTTAACACTATTTGTTCTTTACCGACCAATGCTGTTTGAGCGATACATTGCAGGGATTTTTTGAGCTTATTTTATAGCCGTTATTGGGTCATATTCCCAATTGAAAATAGTATATTATTTTCCCAATCAACAGAAAAAAAATTCCCTAATTGAAAGTTACAAAATAAAAATATTAAATAAAAACTTCTAAAAACTTTGAAAAAAGGGATTCTTCACTGTAATAGCGCTAAGATGTTTGACGATGCCATCCTAGACAATAATTGTTTGCATTCATTTAATCACTGCAAAATTTTAGTGATGCATTTTCTCCCCAATTTTAACAAAACACCGCTGAAATTCCCAATTACATGGGTATGGTTAATGTTTCCAAATTCCTGGAAAAAATTTCTTGCATTGTACAAAAAGCATCTGAAGTAGGCAAAACGTGCATAAAAATCGTAAATTCACATGCAAATTGGTACTTTCATCTATAAAAGTTTTCAATAACCTTGAGTAGAGGTCTGTTACTGTGAAAATGTTAAACATTGAAAGTTATGATGAAAACATATTTAAAGTAATATAAGTTATCATTACCAGTAATATATAATTATGGGCCGAGTTGACCCGTGCCGAGTTGGAATAGGGTCGAGCTGACTCGGGGGCCGAGTACGTTTAAGGGCCGAGCTGACCCTGATTCACGTAAAGTATAATAATTTCTCTTAGGTGAAAAGTTTCACTGTTTCTTTGCCATCTTACCACAATGTTTGATCATAAGTACGAAATTTACCTCCGGCTCATCTAAATATAAATATGCGAGGACAGTTACTAATGCCATAATTGTTTTTACAAATATCTTTTTCCACAACTATAAAAAGTGTTTTGCTGACTAATATTGTCAAGTTATACAATTTTGTTAACTGTGTTCTTGGTCCAGAAATGATTTCCCTCCTGAGCTGACACCAGGCAGTAATCAGGTATGGAATGTGCAAAAGTAGCGCAGAATAAAGAAAAGGATGAGTTTCACGGTTGTTGATATATTATTATTTAAACTTCATTAAGCATGATTCAAAGACACAAGTCTACATAAGAATATTTTTCTTTTAATTGAAATAAAAATGAAGTTCTTATTTTTAGCTAGACGTTTTCGGAGAAAAAAAGAGCTATTGTTACAGCCATGTTGTCGTTGCTGCCATTGCTGTTACGGTTGCCTTCCGAAAATTTTAGGGTTGGTTCTATTTGCAATTGTCTTATGGATAACTTTCATACTTGGACAAAGCAGCACTTTGGACAAGACGGTCAAGTTGAACATACTGAACTTGACCTTCTCTCATAAATGACATTGATCTGCAAGGTCAAATGTTTCAAGTTTGCTTTATTTATGAATGCCAATCTTTGTGTCTTTTTTCGTTGATAAATTGGAACCACTTTTCTCATACGAGCTAAAACTAATTATTTATATTTTTCCTTAAACCTATTGCTAAGATAGTAAGATAATGTAGACGTGTAGGACTGTTAGGCTTAAAATAAACTTATGTTTGTTTCCCCTTCCCGACCCATTAAAATTAGGGTTTGGTAGGTAGGTAGGAAAATTATTTTTTATATGTGCATACTAATAACTAAATGCTTATATGTTAATGAATTATTAAAATTAATTTATTAAGTGTAATAGTATATGTACATGCATTACGTACCATATTCACAACTGACATATGCAACATTTTTTTAACTATGCTAGCTGTCTTGAATATCAGATTAGATTGTACCTATTGTATTCTGAAAGAAAAAATACTTTCAACCCCTTTGAACCTGAAAACATCTTTTGGGTAGGGGCAAATGTGTTGGGTACAGTAGGTAGGGAAGAGGAAATAAATTAAATTTTATTTCAGGCCTTAGTATTAATGACAATATGCGGGATAAATCAATCTCAATATCAATTCATTCGTTAGTTCTTTAACAAGATTGACTTGTTGTTTAATTATCTCGATAAGAATTTAAAAAAGTTTCAAACTTGTAACTATTCAACCTTTATTATGAAAAAAGTTATCTAATATATACATGTCCTTACAAATACATTCAAGATATTTACGTACTACATCAAACTATTAAGCAATGGCACGATGAAGAAATAAGCAAACATACAAACTTATAAATTTAAATAAACAAAAGTAGATAAGCGATGCATTTTTCATTTGGTTCTCTGTTTATCAAAATTTTATTAACTAACTTGGCAAAAACTCGCATTTGTAAACATGTATCTTGTCTTCACTACCACCAACAATAAGTCTACATCTTTCTCTGTCGAAACACATAGACTGCGGAAATGAAATATTTAATGGCATGTTATCTACAGTCCGATGCTTTTTTCCATTATAATCCAGCTGATGAATACTGTTTGTTTCATCTAATACAAGAACAATACCTTCACCAACCATACATATATCACGTAAGCGATAACCGTCAAATTGTTCGTCGAATAAATGATTTCCTTTGTCATCTGTTGTAGTTAGATCGGTTTTTGCCTTGAAGTAGAGTCGTTCCCCATTGTCACTTATAGCAATTAAGGGACTGTAGGTTTTGTCCGGATAATGATAGAGCACATGCTGTTGTGTACAGTCTTTGTTATAATTGTAAATTGTGTATCTACTGCAAATATAGAGTGTGTCACCGTGACAAGCTAGATCGTAACATTCATGATCTAGCTTCACTAATTGTGTCAGGTTAATATTATCTGATATATTCACGTACTGTATGGAATTGCCACTTAAACTAGCAACAGCTGTATCGTTGCCTATATAACATACAGAAAAGGGATGTTCAGTTACATCACAGTGACTTATTACCTTGTACGAACTGTCCAATTTCTTCAGTCTGTTATTCAAGATGTCAGCAAGGAGAACTTCACCATTAGGAAGCATACACATACTAGTGATAATACACTCATCTTGATCATTTTTGTTTCTATTTATCAAAGTATTATCTATCCTAACGCTATAAACCCCTTTTATACTTTTGATGTTGAGACGACGTTTCTGTTCAACGTAAGACCTTTCAGATGTAACTTGTTTTATTCCAAGACATGTGCTGTATGAATAGAAAAAAAACAATTATTTTTTTGACCTTCTTTCCATTTATGATTATGAATACAAAATATATCACAAACAAAAATATCGACAAACACTAGCTTTACAATTATCTAGCATAGTGCAGAAACTTCTATAGACTTTTACACATGTTTCAATGACATGACTTTAATTATAGACATTTAATAACATGGCTCACATTTCAATATGACATATGTGTATATACGAGGGGTTATCAAAAAATTCGTTGACTTTCTTTGTTGCTTAAAATATATTTGAGATATTGATTTGAAATTCTTACACTGCTTAGAAGAATAAGAAACAAATAAACATAGAAAAAATCATGTAAGTAGCTTCATATTAGCTTCATATATAACAACAATATTTAATTTAACATAAACACATGTCGGTGACAGCGGCGCACTCCAAAATAATTTTGACGTCAACGTCATAATAAAGTATAAAATGTACTTCAACGTTACGCAGTCAATGACCGTTACTGCTTCTCAAAGTAATGTCCATCACTAAATTTCTTATGCCACTCACATCACTAATGATCATGAAATTTTATTTTATCTGTTCGCCTGCTGATTGTATCATTCCCAAATTACCACAAAATTTTATGATTGCGCGATTTTCTAGTTTTTGCGTGTCCATTATTTTCCCGTTGTTAACAATAACGGCGTTTTGGCGTTTCTAGCGATATCAACAAAAATTAAAAGAAATGACATCCATAATTTTAAAGAATTTTATTTAAATGACGTCCTAGAAGAAACATGCGATGTTTACCGGGTTTCTACTTAAATTATTAGTTTTTAGCAAAAAATATACGATGACTAACTGCACTTTTCTACCTTGCGCCGGATGCCGAGTATGTGCTTATCAAAAGCAATATAAAATCATTATTTATTGACGTATTTAATTGTTCCTGATAATGTTCTACAAGGTATGCTGATAAAATTCCATTAAAGTACAAGCTGACGTTCAAGAGATGTTTAAAAAATCGACGAATTTTCGGATAACCCCTCGTACGTTGTGTATATATGGTGTATATTTAAACTGCTTTTTTCACTGTAATTATGTTCTTCAGCTTAACTGTGAACAATAACTATTATTATAATATGAGCCGCGTCACGACAAAACCAACATAAATGGGTTTGCGACCAGCATGGATCCAGACCAGCCTGCGCGTTCGCGCAGTCTGATCAGGATCCATGCTGTTCGCTATTAGTTTCTCTACTTGTAGTAGGGTTTGTAAGCGAACAGCATGGATCCTGATCAGACTGCGCGGATGCGCAGGCTGGTCTGGATCCATGCTGGTCGCAAACCCATTATGTTGGTTTTGTCGTGACGCGGCTCATATATATTTAAAGGGCGTGAACGTAAAGATTTAAACAAAGACAATAACGATGGAAGGGAATATTTGCCAGTATATTTAATATACCTTGTGACATTATAACTGAATTCTTATGATTTAAATTACTATCCGAATTTCATTGTTGTTTCCTGATTTAGTAATTTATATCTAATAATTAAAATAGGTCGCTCATTGTTGCCGTTTACAATAATTTCTCCCGATTGAGAGGTATCGGTGCCATCGGTAAGTATCACAGGCAGTCGGTTCGTGTATAGTATACATGTACATGACCACGCCCACCAAGTGAACTTCAAAATGCTAGTGAGACATTGACCTTTAAAGGTAGGGACGTGATAATTGGACGCGACACATCGTCTTGATGTTGTAGACATTTATGTTAAATTATTTTAAAATCCTTCTATGCATGACAGTTAAAGCCCGGACACGATTGTGTGTACCTATTTATTCTAATTGTGATTATGTGACATTTATGCCCAGTTTTTTTTTAAATCATTCTATGCATGACAAAGTTATAGTCTGGACACGAATGTGCGTACCTATTTACTCTAATTGCGATAATGTGAAACTTCAAAATAAAAGCGTGACCTTGACCTTTGAGGCAGGGACGTGGTTCTTGGGCGCAACACATCGTCTTGATGTAGTAGACATTTGTGTCAAGTTATTTAAAAATGTATGACAAAATTACAGTCGTGACACGAATGAAGTGGGAACTCGCAGACGGACGGACGGACAGACAGACGGTGCAATTATATTATGCCTCCCTTCTGGGGCATAAAATGAGTGGGCGTGTTCATTGACATGTATACTATCCAAGCCACGCACCGACTGCCTTTGGTAAGTATTAGTCCGTTAGATCGAGCGTAAATCAGGTCATAATTATTCTGTATACGTCATTAATGAAAGAATCAGGGCAATCTGTTTCACATTAAGAATGCTTATATAACCAAGTTTATTTAACATTAAGAGTATAAGTCATTTTTGAATGTACATTGTTATACATGTACCCGAGATTAACAGACATAAAAAGTACATATACACATGTATGACAGACAGAAAACGGTTATTGAAATTCTGTCCCACGAAAATTGAAAAGGTGTGTATTTCTGGGTTTATGCATACACATTCTATCAATTTCTATATATTGCACGTATAAAACTGACTGTACGTTTATACAATATCAATTTCATATATAATCGTATGCACTTGTATTTGGGGAAAACTATATCCACACCTAATTTCAATTAATTTCTGGTATTGAATCAATTTTAAAGCGCTCAGAAATATGTGTTGAATTTGCCAAAAACTGGTGTATAAAAAAAACCAGCCTGTATTATAACCAAATGTATGAACACTTTGTTTGTACCTATAATTCTGTAAGTTTCGTGTTTATTTATAAGCATATGTGCAAAAGGTCTGCACTCCTTCCTTCTATCAATTGCTATTTTGTTAACTGAATGTTAGACATATTTGTATAAATTGACAACCTGAACGTTTCTTAGAAATCGCGACAACCAAGATTAGCGGCGATATTGAAATGTAGGTATTTATGGAAAACCGTAAGGTCTACGTGGTTATACGACGGCGCGATAATGCGATGACGACGGTCCGATAATGCGACAATGTGATAATGTGATGACGATAATACGATAGTGCAATACGTTTAGCTGGTCATCATTTTTTCGAATGACGTACAGTACATTAAATTTGCTGACCACGATGACATCAACGGTATTTCGTAGGTTTTAAAAACGTTAATAATTGTTTCCTACCGGCCGTGTGGTGATATTGGACACCGAGGTTCTGCGGTCCTCTTGTCATTATGAACATCGTCGGGCCATTATCGCACAATGGCGAGCAGGGGAACTAAGTATTAACCTCTAAGAAATATGTTGTTCAAAATCGAAGTGTAAATTCCTCATGGTAAGAAAATGGTTGTTACTTTCATAAGTTGTACAAATTATCTGCCCTATAAATGAAGGGCCAATTACAGCGCAAAAACAAAAAACCAATGTATTAGTAACTAAATTACACAGAAGGCTGTTGATATGATGTTTGAATCAATGGTTGTTACTTTCATAAGTTGTACAAATTATCTGCCCTATAAATGAAGGGCCAATTACAGCGCAAAAACAAAAAACCAATGTATTAGTAACTAAATTACACAGAAGGCTGTTGATATGATGTTTGAATCATAGGTGCATCGCATCATTTTAAAGAGCTAATTTTGATAATTGATAAGATAAAAAAAATTAATAATAATAATCATGCAATAATAGTTTGCATGTTTACAAAATAAAATAAATACGATCAGTTTCAGGAAAAAAAGACATGTATAAAAATGTGAAAACAGCAATTACAAGCTTAAAATAAAAATTTTGGTAAATTGTAAAGAATAAGCATGTCAGAATATCACAAAACAAAAGACAAACCAGCGCGTAATCCCTTTAATAAATACCTTGCACTTTTTCAGGAATTAAGGTATTATAATTCTAATTAAAAGTTAACTGTTAAATAAATACAAAGAACTATTAGCAATGCTGGAATTTGCCGATATAAAATATTTTGTTAGCTTTGTTTGTTTGTTTGGTTTAACGGCGTACTGGTCAACACAGTTTAGGTCATATAACTCCGGAAACAGAAAGGGATAATTTTGGCTAACCTCGGATGCTACAAACGTCAAAGCAACAACGGGGGTCAAAACCAAAAGAAACTATTTAGTCGTCCACTGTATCTCAGTGTAGACCAAATGATACATCGGCCAGTCGCTATAACGAAAAGACTTATTATTCTGCCAACACTCGAATATTTATCAAAGGTGATGACTATAATATATTTCATTCGTCTTACTTACCAAATAAATTTAAATTATTTCAATATGCTAAAATGAGGGATACAATTAAAGTGTCGGGTCAATTTAAAGTATCAAATGATTATCTTTTTCCAAACTATAAATTTTCTAATTTGTTTACAAATTTTTTAAGAGATAATCAAACTTAAATGCTTCTGACAGATAAGTTGTCGGTCATTGTTGCACGATTTTAAAATTCGTTTGTTTAATTTGATACTTTTTGTTCTATATTAACCACTATAAATTACTGATTTAAAGAAGTGTATAATTACCCATGTTTTGATTCTCTGCATGCTGTACATAAAAACGTGTCATGGTCTGGACAATAGAGAGTACATTGTGTATGTTGATGCTCGGTACAAGTCATAGATCTGGTTACGCCGGTAAAGTCTGAGGACAGTAGATTTACGCTTTTAAATATTTGTACATGTTTTTGTGTTTACAGAATAAAAATTATCAACCTATAAAGTTTTTCAATAATCCTTACATATTTTAACGATATTGCGCAAAAGATTTTTAAAAATTAATTTTGATTTAGTCATTTAATACATTTAAGGTGATTCCGCTTTGTCAGCCATGTTTGTTTTCACAAAGTCTGTCCAAAGTGAAAGTAGGCCAAAATTCATAACAACAAAGCTCAAATTGTTATATGATAAGCCATTTGCAAGTACACTTCAAGTTCTATGTTTTAAAGACTATTTTAAACAAAAATAAAAATGATAACAATAAGAAAATCTACCTTAAATGGGCTAAATTTCTGAAGACCAAAAGCATTCTGTTGCAAAGTTTTATGCACATTTCATGAATGGTAAAATCCAGTTTAAGGTCTATTTAAGTGCCAACAAATGCCATTTTTTGCAGAAAATACAAAAAACTTTTAAAAACTTAAATGTTAGGAAAGTGTTTTATCTGACCTTGAAAAAACAGGGCCACCATGACATGTGTAAAAAAGTAGTACCATGAAAATAAACATCATTTACCTATTTCTTGTGTACATGACAAACAGACACACTTCACTGTTACACATAAAAGGTTAGATTTTAAAGTTTGATTGTGTTTTCATTTAAATTGTAGTTCATAAGGCTATAAATGATGATTGTTTTTCTTGCTTTTTTTACAAAAAATAATGGAGGCCATGTGCTTAGAAGGACATGAGATACTGATTTATTTGGAGTTAAGTTTTGAAAGATTTTTGTATTTGCTGCAAAAAATAGCTTTTGTTGGCACTAAAACAGACTTTAAAAAGGATTTTGCCATTGATGGAATGTGCCTAAAACTTTGCAACAGAATGTTTTTGGTCTTCAGAAATGTAGCACATTCACGGTAAATATTCTTATTGTTATCATTTTTATTTTTGTTTATAATTGTCCTTAAAATATAAACCTGGAAGTGTACTTTCAAATGTATCATCATTTTACAATAAGAGCTTTGTTGTTATATGAATTTTGGCCTACTTTCACTTTGGACAGACTTTAGTGAAAACAAACATGGCTGGCAAAGCGGAATCACCTTAATATGCACTGATTACAAAAAAAAACAGAATACACTGTTAAATATAAAATATATCATATATCATAATTATTCATATTTTACTTACACAGACGTTGTTTTACTTTCTCTATGCCATTTGAAGAGCAATTGGCAATTATGTCATGCGATTCAATGTCACATTGCACAAGTAACCATCGTCTAAGCTCAAACAGTTCTTGATGAAATCCGTTACTGCTGATAGCCGTAAGAAAATCTTCCATGGCCTTCGAACTGGTGCAGTTGATTTGTATGTCTGTTGACGATTGGTCAGTGGTAGAAATATCAACGATGCGGCATTTCTTTATGGCCTTGATGAAATCTACGAGGTGGTAGACTGGTGTATCAGTTGATATTTCATCAAAAGACGAACCAGTCATATCATCGTTATCTTTAATATAATCTCTCATTACTTCATAAATTCGTTGATTCCCTTCAGCACTTTTTTCACCATTTTTAGCAATAACATTTATCTGTAGATCAAGCAAGAATTGCTCTGAAAAACAAAAAAAAAAAACATAATACATGTAGAGAATCAATGCACGGTTTAACGTGCATCAAAATATGCAGATATTAATGCACACTCAAATTGCATGTGTATTAGCTTTTTTCTCAAATAAGTTACATTTCGTTCCGTTATTTTTTTTCATATAAATGTTACACAGGTTTCGTCATGTTTTCCCTTTTTGCGCGCTGAGTAATGCATATTAAAAACAAAGGGCATGCTTGCGTAATTAAATCGGTAAACATGTTTCCGTCTTCGTTTATATATTCCTACGTGCGCAGTTTTTATGAAAGAACAACAAGGAAAGTTAGAGAATTAGTATTTTAAATATGAATAATTGATATAAGTAAATGTATTTCAAATATAGCTAGTTCAACAGTCAACTTACTTTAGTAACATTCTTATTTAAGTCCTCAAACAAGTAAATGTATAAAATAACAATAATGTTCTAAATGTGTTTTTCCTTTTGTCTTCTTTTCAATGCTAACAAAATTTTATTGATAAGAGTTGTGAATTCACAGGGTTTTAAGTATTTTTTCATTATGTACCTTTAAGACTCTTTTGTTTTCCTGCAGATCTAAAATTTAGCATAAGCTGAAGCTCATTTTCTTTATCTGTAAATAAAAACACAACTCGGGAAATTACGAACATTTATGTAAAAAATATTCAATAATGCTTAACAGAATATATGCGTGTCCTATTTTTAAGTAATTCGGCATGTATATGATGGGAAGAATACATCTTAGACCAAATATTTTACAAGTTATTTTCTACATGAACAACACTTGTTCGTAACTTTTAAACAACAACACTGTTTCTGTCCATAGTAACAAGTCCGCTAAAAAAGAAAAAGTATGCAAACTCCGGAATGTTTTCTATTATAGACAAAATAACTAGAGATATTAATTGATTATTCTTTCACAAGCAATACGTTTTTTTTAGAAATTTGATATTCTTTTGATTTTTTTATAGAAATAAAAACGTTTCTTGCATGACCTTTTTTATAGTGTCAAATCCTAAAACACCCCTTTTTGAAATATGTCTATTCAAACATCATTTTATTTCAAAGTCTGATTCTTTTTCTAGCTTCATTATTTTAATTCTTCTTTCTCTTTGTAGCTATTTATACATTTTGTACGTATATCAGTATAACATAAGTTAAAAACATTATGTCAATTTTGCATAATGTTACTGTTTTGTCAAATCCAACAGTTATATCATAAAAAGGAACCAATTTATGAATTTGTGCAATTTAAGGGAATAAAAGTAATTCTTTTCAAACGGATACAGAATTTTTGAACTACACTGTTACGTATCTCGATAATACTTATGTTTGATTTTAAATCCTTGTCTAATGACCTAGTAGAATTTTCGTATAAGGATAAGCTCTTATTTGTTCAAATAAATATTCAAGGACAAACCTTTTATCTGTTGCTCTATCAGTTGAAGTTTCAATTCATGCTGAAGAAAAAAATTTAAAGTGTTACATTATATATATTATTCGAACCATTCGATTATTGTGCATAAACATTACGAAGAAGGAACTAAAATTTAATTATATATATTTTGGTAATATTCATTTAATTCCTTATTTTCTGAAACCCAATATAATACTTACAGAACACTGGAATAGTTCGGATACCATCGTCTAAAGACTACATTTGATTACCTAAGATAGAAGTCAGTAGGTAAGAACTGACCACAAAGTATATGTACGTAATAACACTTATGTCATTCAAAATTGTACTCTTTTCCATTACTAACGAATGTTATGTTCAAGAAATCTAAACAAAGCTATATATTCAAGCGTGCATGATGGTTAACAGAGAGACATGTAACAATGACAGGTAAGAGGCATCTGTTTTAACATCTGTTTCTCAGTAATGATTCGTATACAATAAAAAGACTAGCAACTTTAGAATCGCAGTATTTTTAAAAGACCTTTTGAACTTATTATCCATTGTAATAGACTTGAAAAACAATATTGCCTTACTTTATCGGCCGTAAAAGCATGTTCTAACAATACTCAAATGCATTAGCTATAACACTTGCCTGTTTTTGTGCTGTTTCGTATTTCTCTTCTAATCTAGACATCCCATGCGCTCTCAGCTCTCTCATCTCATGTTCAAGGTTAATCTCAATCTGATTTTGTTGCACCTGTAAGAAATTTATGATAGGACTCCGGTCCGTAAACTCATTTGACGAATTTGTCTTTTTCATACAATACACACATGTCTGAATGCATATTAGGCCCATTTTATTTCATAAGAATGGAAGGACCTTTAGTATCACTTGACATCAAAGTATGTACTACAAGAGAAGGTCAAAATGAACTTACGTTTATCCAGGTTAATTTTTTTACAACAAACTCCCGAATTATTTTCATGTAATAGGCTTTGTTGATAATTTTTTACATTCTGTATTGTTGCAATCTTGTTAATACTCAAATATTTGACTGTGTATATGTGTGAAAAGCCTAGAATTAACGAACTCACGTTTGCAAGATGATACAGATTGATCCACTACAATGTTACAACAGATAAAGTTATTGTACTTACTATTATAGACAATAATGTTCTCACTATTATAGTCAATAAATGTGTTTCACAATTATGCAAAAGACCTGAACGCACTATTACAAATTATACATGTATTGCAAAATAACAAGTTGTTAAGAATTTAGAAATTGCTAAAGTATATTTTGCAACAAATATTACAAAATTGATCAATATATTCTTAATTAATACATTTAGAAAGGAGACGATTTATTACATAAAGAACCAATACAATGTATCCCAATCGGCAAATTTTGTCTTTATAATTACTCTTATAGGATAGTTACCTTATCTAGTAAATGTAAGGCATTTACAACGCCTGGCTCCCCTTTCAGAGGTGTATTGCCATGTTTGTCCTTGATTTCTAGTACTTCTTTAAACATTTTGATAAACTTGTTTAGTTGATTTTCAGAAAGTTCATAGTTTGGACTGTGAAGAATATCATTCCGCGCTGCCCGTGCCTATAAAAATAAAACTTCAATATTTTAATTCTCATTTTAATTTGTTGCTAAAACACTCTATTTACAAATTAAGCAACTTTAAAGCCAATTCGAAAAGGCTTTTCTAGAATTGCACTTTAAAGGCTAAATATCAAAGAATGTTCAATTGAGATAACAACCAACAACAGATGATAACTGTGGTTGAGATGTTTACCTGTGCAAACGCATCTATTTTCCCATCGATGATAACTTCTCCAAGCATCATTTCTATATAAATGTTGTTTATACACATACTAAGTAAACCAGAGCAGTCGACGTCTTTAGCTGATTGTTTGTCTTTGTAGCCAGTAGTATTTATAAAGCATGTAGCAACACTCCATGGATCACTGCTCCATTTCTGGACATCCGTGTTCGTGAATGATGGATCTTGAAAGCGATGATTACAAACTATTTTATTATAAACGTTGCCACAAAATCCCCCATTTGGACACAATAGTCTTGACTTTTTTTTCTGAATCTTAGTACATAAACATTGATGTTTTCCTTGCCGTGGGCATTGATCTTGTTTATGTGGGAGAAGACTTCTCTCTGTACAAGTGTTGCATGTATTTCCAAGAGTTTTCATTAGATCATTATGATGTTTGGCAACAACCTTTTCGGAAAAATCCTCTAAACCTATTTTCAAATATTTTAACGCTAGAGCTCCTCTCATCCAATTTCTGTACACTTCTTGTGTTATCTGTCTTCTGTGGATAAGGTCTGTTTCCACTAAAATACATTGAAGAAAATTGCATCAATGATTTTCTGGTATCTGTCGAATTGGTATTAAATTAATTGCATTGTTTGCTTTTAAGATTTATCAGCTATTACCCAAACCTATTGAATAAATTAACGACTTTTATGTAAAGGACCTGATAGAGATTAAAACCAACTATTAATAGTGTCGGTATTACAAAAACAAAGATAACATTTATATATGTTTACCTTGTATTTGAACTGTTGTTTTAGATGAGACATTTCCAAAGTCAATTGTATATTCACCCTCGTCGTGTAGTTTTACATTCATGATCTTCAATTTGTGGGTAGTACCATTTGCTTGTATAACCTTTCTACCAGATGATTGTAGAATTCCCCCTTTGTATCGCCAAACAGGTTTACTCGTGAGAAGGTTCACCTTACACTCTATATCAATGTTTCTATTCTCGCTAACCTCAATTTTGGTAGGCAAATCAACGACCACACTTAATGCTTCATCTGTCAAATGAATTACATAATGATAATTAAACGAATCACACTTGATTTGTAATTAATTGCTTCGATCATTATGGAATAAACTGTTGCTAACATTCGCCAATGTTACCTGTCATACAATTACATTTCACTTAATCAATTACTATCTTGATTATTCCTATTTCGATTTTAACTGTTCAGTTACAAATTATATTTAAAAATGTTAGATTGCCAATCAAACTAAAGTTAAAGCCTAATCAAAGATCTCAATGTTATAATTAAATTTTTTGCTTTCTAGATATAAAAACTTGAAAGTTATAAATAGTAAATGCCATGGTAAGGTATAACTATTTCTTTATCTGTTTCTAAGCATTGAAACAGAACACGAGCATTATTGTTATAATTCGATTAAAGCGTACCTATAACAGTAAGTTCAGCTGTAGTTGAAATATGGCCACATACACACGAATATTGACCCGTATCTTCCAATGATGCACGGGAAATCGCTAACCAATGATTGCCATTCTTGCTCATGACCATAACATTATTTGAAATTTCAACCGGCTTGTTATCTTTCCTCCACTCAACATTTTCATCTGTTGGAAGGTTGAGTTTACATGTCAAAATAGCCGAATCATTGATGTAGACATATTTGTTCTGAAGTTCTTCAGTGAACATTTGGCCTGAAGTATATTATATTTTGTTTATAAGATTATAATTCAGCTATATCAAGTTATTGTTTATTATTACCCCTCACTTTTTGGAAATCTTAATTTCCCATAAGTCACTGGCAGTTATTCATACAATCAATGCAACTGAAGTACGTAAATAAAAAATGTGTACTGTTACATAGGTAATATTACTTTTTAGAGTATAAAATCGGGTCACTTGGTTTATTTTCTTAAACAAATATGGAAGCCATTCGTTTTTCTCTATTCAACCTCTTATTTTTCGAATTTCACCACGAAGGGCAATTACCAGATAACTTATTGAAAGACAGAAATTTTAGTTGTTTGCATCTTGAAAGTATTTCTCGTACTATTTGTCTTTTGGTTGAATTATTGATTGTTTTGAGTCCTCTTACAACTTGTAAGGCAAGGACAGTTGAGTTATTGTTAATCTTAGTTCAATTTTGTTACAGGTAGATTTAGTTGAAGTTTTCAGATCATTGCATTATTCGTTCGGGGTAATAAAATAAATAATAAATGGCTTTGTGAGAAACAGTAAAAATATCATCCCTCGTAAAAATACTGTTACCAGAGGCGTTATACTGCTTGTGTCATTATCAAATTGAAGAATGTCTCATATTTTATGATATACTTTGCATATAGCATATAATTGTATTATATATCATTTGATTGACCATGCATTGTATCAGTTTGACTCATGTTGAATACAAATTTAGAATATACACACTCACTTAATTTTATATTCGATCCTGGCTATCTAAAACAATAATATCGCTATAGCTAAAGATTAACACTATTTGAAAACTTGCATATAAACATGTTCATGAAGTAATGTATTTGGATACAAAATAACCATATGAATAAAATTAAATTCATACTGTAACACAAATACATACCATTGGTCTGGAGCTTTTGGTGGTTCTCTTCGCCAATCATACCATTCTCTGTAGCGACATCTACATCAATTGCAATTTTAAGATGTGTTTTAATATCATTTGTCTGTGTTATTTTGTCAATCAGTGTTTCGCTTAATTTCATTGATTTTGATTCAAATGAAAACATCATACGTTTACAATCAATATTAGCTTGGGCGTCTATGAGCGTTATCAACTCGAGTAATTGTTTGTGCAATAAATTCTTTTTCTCGTTGTAGGTATTGAATGTTAGGAAGGCACATTCGGCGTATTGTTCAATATCTTTCCTCTGATCATATATACATTGAATGGCTTTAACTCCTGGTTCAGTTAGATCAGATTTAAACAAAACTAATGTCACAGCACATAATTGAAGTGTGTCCCACGTATCAATGTCGTCATTGACATCATCTTTTTGAATTAATTGAAGAAACTCTGTTTCGTACTGGGTTTTAAAAGCATCTCTATTCTCATTTAGCACAATACCAATACTTTTTCCACATTTTGTCTCTTCCCTTTTAATTATGGCCTTCAATGCGATATGCGAAGCTTGTTCCAGTAATAATATATGATAAAGGTAGTGTTCATGCCCTCTAGTGATATCACAGCTCTTCTGTAACAATGATTAGAATAGTTTTAGAGGTTTGATTTCCTATGGATGAATTTCAAAATTCGATTTGATATTTCATTTTGTGCAACCTTGTCCGCTTTTTGCTTGAAAATACCATAAAATTCCGTTTGGATAATTCAAAAAATCAGCAAAACAAGCATATCAATAAGGTAAGAAAAAGTAATAACAATTATTTTGCAACTATATATTATGCGTAATCTATAAAGGAATGTAAATACAAAAATTATGATAAACATTACCGATGGTTCCATCTCATTTGTTTAAATTCCCATTTGTCTGATCAAGATGATATGTGACTGTCTCTGAAGATAGAACAATCATCAATATTTTATTTCACTAATAATAATAATAATAATAATAATAATAATAATTATAATAATAAAATGATAATAATAACAATAACAACAACAAAAATTTAAATATATGCATAAATTTAAATGTAAGTGTAACTTCTGGAGTTCAATAGTGCATTGTAAGAATTCGTTTAATGCATGTTCGGATTTGTAACAGTTGGTTGAAAATTCGGTATTTATTCGGGGTAATGAAATGATAATAAAACACATAGGTTTGTGAGAAACAGTTAAGATACCGTCCCTCGTAAAATTCTGAAACCATCAGCATTTCCCCGGGATGATAGTTTTATTGTTACAAACTTTTATGTCCTTTTTACAACCGACTTTGGTTTTAAACAACATTGTCTTGGATATCAATACTTTTAACAGTTCATACATATATTCTACAGTTTGTAATATAAAGTGTATATGGTTATCTGTCATATTTTCCTGTTGAAGAAGCTATTGTTTGAAATCGTTTAACCAAATAACCTATAAAAGTCAGTGAAATGTAACTCCACTACTTTACTGTTATATCAGCTCAAATAAGGTCACAAAATATTGTATCTCTGATTGAAACTTTTGAATTGCTATACTGAAGATTTTGCTACACATATTTTCATTCACAGTGACGTTTCCCGTGATATTTTCGTTACAGGGCAGTGTACTGTGTTTTTGTTTTTTATCTCGAACAATTTCAGAAAGACTGCAGTTAATTCATCGCCTGTATAGTTCATGTCAATTATAATATACCAAAAACAAACATGTATCTTGTATGAAATCTTTCCGTGAAAAATACAGTTTAAATGAAATGAAACAAAAAAAGATTATGTACCTCCGAAATTGTAGCTAATATTGTTTCTTGTTATGAACTTTTGTTAAATTTGTAGAGTATATGTCAATTACATAAGTCACGGGCCTTAACCCAACCATGTGTATAACTATAGAGAAAATGTTCAAAAACAATTTTTTTATTGTCCTCGTCAAATGATGCTGAAGGGTCGAGGGCATCCCAAACAGCATCTTACAATGTCATTTCATGTATAATTATAAACTGTATACAATGACAAAAAACAACAACAACAAACCCCCCCCCCACACAAAAACTTGCCCACCTTTGTTACATGAACCATTGGTAGAATTTTCTTTGCTAAAAGAAAAATATTTAAATATAAACTTAGTCTGAGGCGTCCTGAAAAATATTTTTGACAATTTTCCATTCTTTTTCAAAATCTGATAATGTATTTCTTTTGAAAGCTATATTTCTGATTAAATTTTATTAAAATTGAAGAAAAAATTTGAGTCTAGGGAATGTCAAAGTTCCATTTAAAAATCTACTTTAAAAAATGAACTGTTTTATTAATAGTAATGTATTATACAGTGGTATATTGTTTGTACCTAGGATAGTTTTTCTTTCATTCACTTGCATTTGTACATTATTTCTGTCGCATACTAATTTTACCTCTATTGAGAAGCCTAGATTGGAGTCTAGATGTATGAAACATGACCAAAAGAGATGCTCAATGCTTTCATTTTCTACATTACAATAAGAACAAAGTGGGGAGTCTTTCAATTTTAGTTTGAAAATGTACTCATTTACTGATAATATTCTATGTAGTATTCTAAATTGTAGCCATTGTGCACTAGTATTTTTGGTGTTGTTAAACGGCAAACTATAATAAGATTTCCATTTGTTTTGTTCAACTGAAAATTTATGTTGCCATTTAATCTGATTTGTTGGTTTTTCAGTGTTATTGTTAAATATTTTGTATATGGCATTGGTACCTTGTTTATTCTTAATAAAAAACAATTTCACTAACTAAACAGTATTCCTTTCTAATTAAAGGATTTAGATTTTTATTTCGTATACATTTAAATCAGGCGTAGTACTATTTATTTCAATCACAATGTTTTGAAGTGTTATGGGAAACATAAAGCAGGCCTAGTCTGAATAGCAGGAACTCGTTTTATATAGAACATCATTACTACTTATCAAGCTAGGTAAGTTGGTTTTACTTTTTATATAGAATTTAACTGTTGAAGATCTTGTCATGTGTACTGAGCAAATATTTAACAATGCATTTTCGTCAAAAGCACGCCAGATAAACTCTTAATTCTAAATATTCGTAACATTCCCCTTTTTGAACAGCAAAGTGATTTTAAAGTTTCTCAACAAAACATACATTATTTTATTAATTCTTGACAGATTTAAAAGGTAGGAAAATAAAAACCGAATATTTGCTTTGAAAATGACAACATAGCTCGTGTGTTATAGGAGGCGACGGACCACTTTTAAAAAGTGATCTTTAAAATAAGACATAACACCATTCGGTTGGCATTCACTTATTTATATGCATTGTATAACTTTAAGATACAATTAAGATTTTGCTGTAAATATCACATCTTTTGTAGCATAGAGTGATAGTTTATATAATATATACTTGTGATAAAATGAATGTGTTTCCAATGCATTTTCTTGTTTGTTTTACTTTTGTAAATGTGTGCTGGAACAATAAAAGTACTATCATGGCAGATATCTACTAACTTGCCATTTCAAACTTTAAAAATATTTTATTTGGTTATATCTTGGTTCTATTTCCACCTATCTAGCTTTCATGAAAATAAGTAGTTCTGATTTTCTCCGCAAATGGTTGACTACTTATCCGACATTATTTTTGAGCCGCGTTCGGAAACAATAATGGCGATTACGATGGTCATTCAATAGGTTCTGTTACTGGGTCAAAATTTTGTATCTGTTACGTTTTATGAGAATGGTGTATGCATCCCCTACCAAACTACATTTTTGTTATCTTTCGGTCCAGTTTAGAAAAGCTGAATAATAGTATTGTTTTAGGAATTGTTGCAGACACTGAAACATTGCGTTGCTAAGAGACGTATTTCTTTTACCAGAAGGTATATTTTAAGCCTTGAAAACAGAAACAAGTCGCAGGGACATACATCAAGCGCATAAGGAGCATGAGACTGTATGACGAGATTAATAAGGCAATTGAGCGTATTCTCCATTGGAACAAAAAAATAATCTCTGTACTATCCCTTTTTGAAATAAAAGACCTTTTTATCTTTTCGAAAAACACTGTTATCGACCCTTTTTGTAACTCAAACACATGCACACAACTTTAATCACCTGCCAGCAATGAAGAAATAGCCTGAAAATGGCGGTTTTTGTATGTTTTTAGAATACCATGGGCATACTATAGGCGGGCGCTGTTACTTTTGCTCCTTTGTGGGCAAATCGGGTACTCATCTGGAGCAAACCTTTCTTTGACCAAACGCTCGGTTAAAATGAAATGAATACGTCTTTCTGATATTGCAGTACAAATAAATCCGTAACCATGCTTTGTTATAACCTTCACAGCAGCAATGCTTGCCATGGGAAACGATGTTGAAGGCCTACCTAAACGGCAGTCATCCCTGAGACACCATTTCCTAGATTTTTAAGCTTTGACCCATCCAAATACCGTGCGCTTTGAAATGGCCAGAGGTCCATGTATGACAAACGAAATATTATATATATGCATTGCAGCAATATCATGTCTAATGCGACATAAAATATAGAATCATATTTCAGTATTGTTGTTCAGTGTACAAAATGTTAATGGTCTGTAAATTTGTCAGTGAACATGACTGCTATTGAACGCCCCAACAGCAAAATGTTCTTTAATAATATTTGGATAAAAGTATTGAATGATCATCGTTATACTATTATGAGTATGATGATGATAGCAACGGCGACGCTTATTATGATTAGGATGATGCTTATGATGAGTATAATGTTAATGATGACGTTAGTTATGATTAATTTCAGTTCAGAAAATTAGACAAAATGCTTTTTAAAAAATCGTGTTATTTTAAAATTGCCGTTGCAAAAAAAGTTACAAGAGTTTTCAATAATGATTATAACAATGGCTCGTTAAGCATTTGTTTGAATTAAACGTTTTAAGCACTTTAAATAGCAAGACAATGACAAAAGTATCCATGGTGAATGCAAATATCCATGCATTTTTACAAAAAAAGTGAAACAACAACAAAACAATTAAAACAATAAAACGAAACAAAACTTTGCAACGTTTTAAAGGAGGCCTTAAAAGAAATTAATATACGTAACAGTTATCTAAAGCGAGTAAAATATGGGTTACATTTTCCAAAAAAGGGCCCGGCAAAAAGAAACCGTTAGCTTTTTACATATAAATCACTAATATCGAGATGATTAACTAGGTGCTTGGGACGAAATAAGCCAAACATAGTATCCTTAGAGGGATTTGTTATTTGAAAGCTATACATAATCAAAGTTCAAATTGTAGGAGTGCAATTGATTGAAACACCCTCCATGTACACTGAGATGGGCATAATTTCAGTTTAACCTGGACAGGGTCAATATTTATTCAATGGGCATGATTGATATCACATTTGTAGCTCAGAACTTCGTAGTTTCACAAAGAGAGACACACGTGTTTTCCAATGAAAATGTATATAAATCGAGTGATCCCCTGGTTTGATTTTTCCTATCTTTATTTCTTAAATAATATATATCATTATGAACAATTGTACTAAAGTGAAGAGATATTTTTGAAAAAAAAATTCTTTATTATAGATTTATAGATTTCAATTCTTATATACCTTCTCATTGTTCATTGTCCTTATTTGAGATTTAATTACAGATTAAAGTAAATGCATATACATTGATCAATAAAAACGATTTTAAATTCACTCCAATCTCTTGAAAAACAACAATAGATGATACATATATGAAATAAGAATGGACGGATGTTCTGTAACAGCTTTATCTTCTTAACACAGGCACCATAAACCATAACTAAACATATTAAAATAAAAACTATTGCTTTTATATACAGATTTGTTGCACACGAGGTAAGCGCATCCATTTTGACTTTTTTCACCCATACGTATTTTGAGTTCAACATTATGAAGTCAGATACATTCCTCTTACT